AGTGGCTTCTTATGCTGCCCACTGGGTTTTTTCTCCCTGGAATGGGGTGCTGTCTTACTTTCAGGATCTTAGTTTGGAGAATTCCCTCGCGCTTCCTTTAACCTGAGGATTTTTGTCCACGGGACTCTGCCTAGTACTTCTCTAAGCTTGTTGGTCTCCTGAAGTTTAGTGTGCATGCTTGACTCTGCTCCAGATTCTCTTTCTGTAATATCTTGAACCCCAAGATGATGTGATCATTTCTGCCAAGATTTCCACTGCTTTTTCCTCTTCAGCCAGCTCTTCCTTTTGGTTAGGATCAGCTCAAGGAGAAGGAATACCCTTGTCTTTTTTCTCTTTCTTTTTAACTGTTTAATTGTGTCCGATTCTTGGAGACTGCCTGGACAAGTCTCTGCAGTTTTCTTGGCAACATTTTTCAGAAGTGTTGTGCCATTGCCTCCTTCCTAGGGCTGAGAGAAAGTGAGTGGCCCAAGGTCACCCAGCTGGCTTTGTGCCTAGGTGGGACTAGAACTCATAGTCTCCCGGTTTCTGGCCTGATGCCTTAACCACTACATCAAACTGGCTCTCAAACTTTTCTCTAGCCTTCTGGAAAACAAAAGTCAGCAAGACACTGAGAAATTGTAAGGACTTTGCAATCATACATGAGCTAGCTTTCCAACAAATGGCAAATAATTGACATCTCCCATTATCCCTGTCTCTCTCCTCCTGAAAGTTCTGTTCTTTTGTCCAGGAAGACATTATGCAGTTCTTCTGCTTGACTTTGTGACTGATACCGCAATTGTATTGTTTTGTTTCCCTTTCCTTATATTTTACCCACATCCTTTTGAATAGACTCTCATCTTCAAATTATTGGAACTCTGAATATGTGTATTTCCTTCACATATAATGTTCATTTCTTTTCTGCACATTGAAGGCATTGTTCAATTTTATAAACAAAGATAAATATCTTGTAATTGTATCTGTTCTGGTACCCACTGCTGCAGTTTAAAAATGGTGTTGACGAATTTAAATGAATGCAGAGGATAAAGATAAAGATAGCAGTATAGGAGGTAAGTTTTACGAGAAGAAGTGAAATAACTGTCTGGCTTTAGTCTAGTGAACAGAAAGCCAAGGGTACACACAGCCCTTTATGGGACAGATTCTTGTAGTGTCCCATAAAGACCAAGGACTTGTTAACTGGTTCTGAAAATTGAAAATCATGAGAACCTTCCATGTCATGAGGAGTCTAACAATGGAGCCATTTATCCACAGCTCCAAATCTTCAAGCAGAGGCTGGATAGGTACCTCTTTAAGATGCACTAGCTGTCCGATTTTGTGCATAAAGCAAGGGATTAACTAGGATGGCCTTCACCATCCTCTCCAGCATCTTGCCATGCTGCCATGTTTTTCTAGTCGTCTACGTGAAAGTGCTGAAATACGTTAGCGGTTGGGAATGACTTGGTTGCAAAGATCACAGATTTAAATGTTTGGCTTGCAAAGTAGCAAAGCACAGAACTGGAGAAACAGAAGATTTGTGCGAGAGAACTGCTAATACTGAGAGTGGGATTTAAAATTCATTTTGAAAGTGTTGAACCAGCAGCTTGACTTGCTCTTAAGGGATTCTGAAAGGCTTGGTTTTTAATTGAAATGTTTAAGGGTGTTTAAAACATCATCCAGAGCGGCACTCCTGACTGACTCAAGGAAACCCTCTGTGACTTAATAAGTAATGAAAAAGTGTATTTTCCACGAGCACTTTGCATAACTGGAAAGCTTTCTAAATTGACAGATTATTAAAATAAGCTTGAACAAAGGACTTTCTTGCCTGTTTGAGGCAACTGCTTGTGTGCCTAGGGACTAAGATTGCAGAGGCATCGGGGATGGGGCCTTAGGAATGCACTTGGTTTGTCAGCAGTTAAATATGTTTGTCTTGACTAAACTATGCTTTATACAAGCCATGACAAGTGGCTTGTATAATCGCACCACCAAAGAGGAAAAAAAATTAATGCCCCTAGAAAATAAGCAGGGTGATAGCCTGGTACCCCAAGCTTTTGAAAGTAGCTGCCAGGCAAGACAAACGCCTTCGCAGCAGAAAGGCTCTCCTGAGGAGGTCCCCTCCAGCTGCTTCCTCCTTCAGAGGTGGGCTGCCTGGGAAGGAGATGACGCGGACCCTTGGGGCTGCACCTTCCTCATCCCATCTTCCCAAATGGGCAGCCCCATTCGAGTGTCGAACTGCAGCGCTGCCTCACATCGGGCTGGCGAGGAGAGGAGTGTCAGCGGATGAAGAGGAGCCTCAGCTGGGGCCCAGTGAGGGCTGTGGGCCTTTCGGTTAAATCTTCTGTTTGGCAGCAGTGCTTGAAAAGATACGGTTTTGTCTAATATTTGGCTGTTGAAATGTTTAACTGTCTCACAGCTGCAGCACTAATCTAGATGAATGCTGGGAAGTGAGGCATTGAGTAGATCCTGGTAAATTTCCCCAGTTCTGAGCTTGGTATCTTAGTTGTTGCTTTAATTCAGAGTTTGTTTCCTACACTGTGTGTCTCATGTTTCATACAGGAGCTCAAGGCAGCGTACCTAAGTGCTTCTTCCTCCTGTTCTTCCCCACAACAAGCCCCCTGTGAGGTTGATTGCTCTGGGAGAGGGTGCCTGGCCCAAAAGCCCCTCGGGGAGTTACTGTGCTTGGGTTTCCCTACTCCTGGTTCAACAACCACGTCATATTGATTTCTTGACATATTGCTACCCTAGACCACTAGAGTTCTTTCTCCATTAAAGATTTCAATACCAGTTGTTCTGCCTAATAATGCAGTTCTGATTGCATTTCTTCTTTGTAGCTCTGGCAATGGGCCTCTGTGTTGCAATGATTGCCTTTGTCCGACTGCCGAGCCTTAAGGTCTCCTGTCTGCTGCTATCGGGGCTATTAATTTATGATGTCTTTTGGGTGAGTTTTTTTTTTAAATATATATATAAATCTATATATATAGACAATACCACAAGCACAGTATTGTTCCAGCATTGGAAATTGGCTTGCAGAATTTGACATCGCAAGCTACTTTCATTGAATGTGGTGTAATGCATCTACAGGCATTATATTCTAGTGTGTTTTTGCATTTATCAACCGTGACCTTTCAAAAATATCCTTTCTTTTATATAAAATGTATGTTCTTTTTTTTCTTCTCCTGTATACATTCCTCTGGGCTTTCATGTTCACTTCAACCAGGAAGAGCTATGGAAGAATCTGCATTTTTCCTTAGGAGACTAAATATACATCTTAATGCACTTCAGAGTTTTGGAAATAATAAGTTGCTGTACGATTTACATCATAAACTAGGCTCACCATGAAAATCTAAAATATTCTAATTCTAAATGTGTGTTCTTCCATTTATTCATTTATTCTTTCCTTTGAGCTTGAAAGACCATATTAGGCGTGCAGTATCAGCAGCTGTGACTTCATGGAAGGGAAAGCTGTTGGAGCTTCTGGGGTGGGGGAAACAGTAATATTGAAAAATCACCTTGGTGGCTGCTCCTTTTTCGTGCTATCAGAGACCAAAGGACATGACCAGTGAGTCCTTGCCTTTCAGCCCCACTCAGTAGAGCAGGCCAGGAAATCACAGGAAGGCTAATAAAACTCCTTGTATTGAGATGGGCTGTAATAACAGGATCTTGCACGTCTGATTTGCTGGATCTCCTCCTCCTTATAGCTCAGTGGATTAGGTGCCGCCTGCCTGAAATCCTTCTGAATATTATCTGATTGTTCTGGATCTAAAAAATGCTTCAGCTCCCTTTGCCTGGCAACGGTTCCTGCATATCTCCATCAAGGTCATCTTCCTTACTCTCCTTCCTGGACCCTAGGGCCACCCTGAGTGGGCAGGCAGGCCTCACCTTCTAGGAACCAAATATCCAGACAACATCAGTGATTAATGCCCAAAGAGGGCAAATGCCACTTATTTCCTGGACAGACCTTCAACAGGGATTGGTTATTTCAGGGTGAAATATCTAGCACAGTCTCTAGTTTGCTACTGAGTTTTGCAGCGCTGCCTTGCTATGAAGACATGCCTTGAGGTTGAGGGAGGGCTCTTTCAGAGTTCCTCAGAGAAGAAAGGTAGCTAACCTGGACGTGCCTCCTGCTTCCTTGTTCACTGCTATCTAGTTCAGTTTTTTTTTATTAAGGAAGGATTACCAAGTCATAGGTAGAGCTGAATGGTGCAAATAGACAAAGGTGTCACTATTTAATTTGGCCACAAAACATTGGTGTATGTCTTTCTCACTGGCAACGAGGCTGCTATGGCATGCCACTGAGATCTGGCAGATACATCTGCAAACCCACTTTTTGCCTCCCTGTCTTGGTCTTTGTGACTGCTGTGGGTCTCAGGATGGTTGATGGGGATGGGGTTTTTGAAAACCCTTCCAACTCACTTTTCCCCCTCTCCAGGTCTTCTTTTCTGCCTACATCTTCAATAGCAATGTTATGGTGAAAGTGGCCACACAACCGGCAGATAACCCTCTTGATGTTTTATCTCGGAAGCTTCATCTCGGACCCAATGTTGGTCGAGATGTCCCCCGCTTGTCACTGCCTGGTAAACTTGTCTTTCCAAGGTAGGATTAAGCTTCATTATCTCCTGTCCTTCACATTTCAACTTTGGAAACTATTTTGTGATATAATTGCCTTTATAAAATAGAGAACCTAACTGGGAGGGCATAGTTAGGATCAGCTTTCCATTAACCAACCTGGCTTACCGGGTCTGTGCACTGCTGATGCTGGCCCAGAGGGAAGGACTGGTGCTGGGGGGCTAACCCTGCTCGTTCTTTTGCAGTTCTACAGGCAGTCATTTTTCTATGCTGGGAATTGGAGATATTGTGATGCCAGGCCTCCTGCTTTGCTTTGTTCTCCGTTACGACAACTACAAAAAGCAAGCTAACGGTGATTCCTGTGGCACCCCAGGTCCTGGGAACATTTCTGGTCGTATGCAAAAAGTCTCCTACTTCCATTGCACTCTCATTGGATACTTTGTAGGTAAGAGTAAAGGACAACTAGAAAAGTCTATGACAACCATGGAAACGTGTGTGTGTGTGTGTGGTGTTCATTGGATCTCTCCATGGAAAGGATAATATATCCTTTGCTTACAAAACTCCTAACAGTCTCTGTGGTATTTTCCTGAAGCTCTCTTGCAAACCATTCGTTTGGTTTTGCTGTTGCTCATAATTTGGAGTGGTTTATGATTCTTTTCAAAGTTCTATTTTGTATGCACAAAGAAAAGGGGCGGTAGTACAAATTCTTAAAACAGTTACATACTAATCAAAACTTACCTTACATACATATTCATGTTATACAATTAACTTATTGACACAGTTTATGTAGAAGTAAGGGAAAATGGAGAATTAAACATATAAACTAGTATGTACTGTATGTACATATGTATCTATTTTTATGCCTTTGAGTCAGTTTTTGACTCCTGGTGACTGCCTGGACCAGTCCCTGCAGTTTTCTTGGCAAGTTTTTTCAGAAAGTGGTTTGCCCTGGCCTCCTTCCCAGGGTTGAGAGAGAGGGACTGGCCCAGGGTCACCCAGCTGGCTTCGTGCCCAAGGCGGGATTAGAACTCCCGGCCTCCCGGTGTCCAGCCTGGTGCCTTAACTGCTGCACCAGACTGACTCTCATAAACATAATGTATGCAGTGTGAATTTTGAAATAGTTTCCAAATGGGACTTCTGGCAGTTCAGATACAGGGTCTTCAGACCACCGTATAATGGACAGATGGCATCTTTGTAATTGTAAAGGCACACACTGTCCATTTTTAGTCCAAAGTTGCTGATAGCCTGCGAGGGTGGCCCCGTCTGGGTCAGCCGCTGGGCTTCCCCCCTTAGCTGCTCACAGCTGTGATTATTTGGCCAGAGTAAGCAGGGGGCCGTTCTTTGTGAGCGTAAGTGGGACAGACAGTTTAAAAGGTTTTGGAAAGAGGTGGGAGTCTGAAAGGAAAGTGCAGTGCAGGACTAAGAATACTGTGAAAGTAGTAAGCTTTGTATTTCTGCAGTATATTATTTTTTTAAAAACAGTGAGATGTTACGAATGGTGCTCTGGAGAGCGAGTTGGTTTGATACCTGAGGCTAAGCGCTTGCTTGGTATTTGACCTTGGAAAAACAGACCTTCTCCTGGAATCTACCTCAGAAGACCTGGACTGAGGTTTATATGATCAAATTAGCAGACTTAAAGTTCATGGGGAATGTCCTTTGTAAACCTTTTAACCGAACATGGAACAGGATTTAAGCTTGACATTCCAAATAGAGTAATGGCCTTCATGAGGTAAAATAGCCTGAAATTTTTATCTAACTTTTTTTTTAACACCAGGTTTCCTAAATATAGCTCTATCTTTTAATTTGCTTTAGCATATACATAGAGGCTAACTGGCTGAGAAGTGTACAGTCCTAGAGCCATCATTAGCTCTCAGAAGCTTTTTAATCTTTAATTGGCATTTTCCAAGAGTACCTTTTTATTTATTGCAGTGACAACATTTATCTTCCAAGGTCAGGTTGGGTCCACTCCCCTAACTTTTTTTCTCTGATATAGCCTTTAATCACTTCCTCTGAAATAAAATTAGAAGAATGAAGTTGGAAGGGCTTTTTTCTCCAAGGAGCTATTGCAAGGCACACTTTCTCACATCGCCATCTTAACCAGAAGTCCTTCCTAAAATCTAGACTCGGTCAAGAAAACCCAGACATGGCTTGATGCATGTTTGCAGCATAGTTACAGAGTTCAGGTTTGGTTTTCTTGTAAATTAAGATGAAGTTTAGGCTGAGTGGAGGTGAGGAAGGAGCAAGGAGCTGAGGGCCTCTTGGGAGGAGCACTCAGCAGGCATCCTGCTTGGTTGCAGAGCAGTTGCACAAATGATTCGTGGCCTTTGATGGTTTAGAAATAATTCTGTTTGCTCACTCTGCTTTCCCACCAATTTCCAAAGGTTAGTGCAACGACATCCTTCCTTCCGCCCCATGCCTTCTAGGGATAGTATATTTCTGTGGGGGTTCAGGCTGATGAGTAAAACGTGTAAACCACCCAGAGTCGTTTCATCGAGATGGGCGGTGGCGAATTTGACATATAAATAAATAAATAAGCAAGCAAGCAGTGGCATCTTCTAGAAGAAGCCTGTCACGTTCTCTCGCCTTCCTTCGCAGGGCTCTTAACAGCGACGGTGGCATCTCGCATCCACCGGGCGGCCCAGCCGGCCCTGCTGTACCTGGTGCCCTTCACCTTGCTGCCACTCCTCACTATGGCCTATTTAAAGGTAAGCGGGACGGGACGAAGACCCTGTGGGGAGACCCACTGGAAGAGTCTGACTTTGTAGCAGTCTAGGAATTATAATTACAGTAATTAGTATATTTCAAGTTGCAGGGCAGGAAACAGCACAAAAATTGCAGTGGATGGCTTATAAATTATGAGATCAGGGTTAGGGGAATCCACCCCTCCTAGTTCTTTTTGACCTCTCAGTAGCTTTTGACACCATCTACCATGGTGTCCTTCTGGACATCTCTGAAGGACTGGGGGGGCACACTTTTGCAGTGGTTCTCCTTTCTGAAGGAGCAGTTCCAGTCAGTAGTGGTGGGAGAGCTCTGCCCTGAAGTTTTGTGGACCTCTCCTCTCTCCACTCCTTTCTAACATCAAGCTGATGGAGTAGTTCATCCCCTGGCTTGGGATCTGGCATCATATGCTGAGGATACCCATCTATACATCGTAGCCCAGGGCCAAACGCATGATGCAGTAGAAACACCCCAGTACCTGGAGGTTATCAGTGTCTGGAGGAAGGGAGAACAAACTCATACTGAATCCCTCCAAGATGGAGTGGCTTTGGGTTTGTGGGCCAAACAATTCTAGATAAATATCATTTTTGATTCTGAATGGAGTTGTACTCCTCCACTGAGAAGCAGTTTGCCATTTGGGAGTCCTCCTAGAGTCCTCCTAGACTCTCAGGTCCTGCTCAATCAGGTGGCACCTATGACCAGCTTTCGCACAGTGATGTTTGTGTGCCCATTGTGCCATTCCTGGACTGGGCAGTGCTTCTAGGCCCTTCCTATTTGGATTACTGTGGTGAGCTCTACGTGGGACTGCTCTTGAACATTCGGAAGCTGCAGCTCTTATAGAATGCTGTTGCCTGGACAGTGATGGGTGTATCCCAGGATACCCACGTGACCCTACTGCTTATGGACTTGCAGTGGCTGCCAGTTGGCTTCTGAGTGTGATTCAAGATGTTGGATGTCATGTCAAAGCCCCTACATGGTTCCAGGTCTGGTTATTTGATGGACTGCCTTCCGTCAATATTCATTGCCTCTCCAATCCAGGGCCGACTCCCTCCAGGTCATATCTGGCTGAGGAATTCTGGGAATTGACATCCACACATCTTACAGTTGCAGAAGTTGAGAAACACTACCCTATATGTGATTGTGTTCTCACAGGGCTTTGGAAGTAGCCAAAGGCTACTTTGGGGACTTTGAGTAGTGCTCCCACATTTAGGAACTCCCTTCCCATGGAGACTCAGCCAACTCTGTTTCTCCTGAGCTTTAGCAAAGCTGTCAAGACCCCATTTGTTTCCTCTAGCATACAGGAAGAGACGGAAGTGCTCTGATTTCAGTCCTTGCATTCCATCCTTGAATTTTGCTTCAGTGATGCCTCCTTATTCACCTTCCTGCATTAAAGCTTCTAGTTCTTCTTTCTCCCCATGTTCTGTGCATTTGTACAGAGAACTGGAATCCTTGAGTCACAGAACTTACTTAATGTGCTTCCCATTGGAGGCTTCACATCCCATATATCTCTGCCCACGTCCATTCCCAGTACGTTGTGTTGTGTTATGTTCTGCTCTCTTTTCGCTTCCACACAGGATTCAGTGTACAGCCTTCTGGTTCAGGCTAACAAGCTGCCTTTCAATCAAAGGTATTCTTCCAAGTCCATCTCTTGTCTGGAGTCCCTGATCTCAGAAATATGTCCTATTGTGAAAGATCCCAAGGTGGTCTGTTGGGACCATCTGCACAGCCAGCTGCTCCGTTCTTTTCTCCCTTCCTGGGGCACATCCTTTGATAGGAAGGAATAAAGAAAAACATCCCCTGTGCCTTTACCTCCTTCAGCTTCCTGCTCAGAATAATCCCTTGCAGTGCCTTCAATTCTGTATCATTTTTGTTGTGTGAAGTACAGGTAGTCCTTAATGGCCACTCGTTCAGCGACTGTTCAAAGTTACAACAGCACTGAACTAGTCATACTTAAAACTGGTCCTTGAAGTTCCAGCTGTCACAGCACCCCTGCAGTCATGTGAGTGTGATCTGTGTGCTTGCACTTAGCAGTGTCCCATGGTCACATGATCACCATTTGCAACCTTCCCTGCCAGCTTCCCACAAGCAAAGTCAAT